TCAAGTCTTATCAACATTTAAAAATTGAAACTCCTAGAAACTGTACAAATAATACTATTGAATACTACATAATTTTGTTAAAATCTAATATGTTAATTGAAAAAATCCATTATGATAAGAAGATGGAGAGACTTTTCCAAAAAGTTTAGTTTGTTAGAACTATTATAAAATTTTAATAATCGATACCAAAAATATATTTATTAAAAAAGAAGTGATGAATTTTAAATTTATAAAAAAATTGCATTAACTATTTTATTTATAATTTATTTAGGATTTCACAAGATTTTATTTTTTTCTAAGGTTAAAATAGTAAAATTAATTTTTTATTAATTTTAAATTTTATAATTTTTTTCAATAATAACTTTTTTATTACACAATTAATAAAAATTTATAATAAAATCTCCTTTTTTGTAATTTTTTTACAATGTTTTCTCTTAACCTCCTAAATTTCTTTTTCGAAAAGTTTTATAATTTACTGGAAATCCATTTCTTGTAAGTTATAAAACTTACTTGAAATTCATTTCTAGTAAGTTATAAAATTTACTAGATATGGATATCCAAAAACTTATAAAAAAGATAATTAAGTAATTTCAATTACAAAAAATAAAAAAAAATGATGTGTAAAGAGAAAAAAAGTGGGATGCATGTAAAAGCTCCCCTGTATAAATTTATTTAAAATAAATCCTACAAAAATTACTATAATGCCAATTCGGTTGTTTGATTAGAAGTTGACATGTGATCAAAGTTACTATATTATCTTTCCTATCATAATTAGCCAAAATTAAAAAGGTTTGTAAACACACCTTACTTTTTGCTCTTCACATCGCACTTTTTTTTATTTTTTTAAATGAAATTACTTAATTACTCTTTTCACAAGTTTTCAGATATCCATATCCAATAAATGTTAAAACTTACCGGAAATGTATTTTCGGTAAGTTTTATAACTTTTTAAAAATTTATTTCTAAAAAGAAAACTCATAAATTTTTTAAAAAAATTACAAAAAAAAGGTTTTATTAAAGATTTTTATTAATTGACGTAATGAAAAATCATTATTGAAAAAATAATAAACTAAAATTAATAAAAATAAGTTGATTTCACCTTTTTGACCTTAAAAAAAGAATAAAATCTTATAAGCCACTAATTAAACATATCATCTCTTGATGTTATAAGAAATTATGAAAGAATTACCAAGTCTGATTAGGATCTGAAAGATGAAACTTTTTGAAAACTATACAAGTAATGCTACTAAATATTGCACAATTTTGTCAAAATCTAATATGCTAACTAGAAAAACCCATCATGATAAGTAGATGAAGAAATTTCTCCAAAAACTTTAGTTTAATTAAAACTATTATAAAATTTTAATAATTGATAAAAAAGTATTTATTAAAAAGAAATAATGAATTTTAAATTTTAAATTTTTAAAAAAATTATATTTACCATTTTATCCTTAGTTTATTTAGGATCTTATAAGAATTTTTTATGGTTAAAATAGTTAAATTAACTTTTTTCATTAATTTTAAAGTTTATAATTTTTCAATAGTAACTTTCATTACACCAATTAATAAAAATTTTTAATAAAACTTCTTTTTTTGTAATTTTTAAAAAAAATTTACTCTCCCACCTTCTAGAAATGGATTTATGAAAAATTTTACCTAAAATATGTATTCAATAAATTATAAAACTTATTGGATCTGGATATCCAAAAATATGTGAAAAAGATAATTAAATAATTTTATTTACAAAAAATTTATAAAAAAATGGGATGTGAAGAGTAAAAAAAAAAAAGATTGTTATTTGCACCCCAACATTTACTCAACATACCACCTTACTTTTAACACCTCATTTTTTACTCATCACACCTCACACCTAAAACATCTATTTACCTAAAACTCAAACACCATATGTTTTCTCTTACACCCAAACCAAAATAGTAAACTCTAGGATTTGAAGCCCCAAATCAAGCCATTTAAAGTTAGAAAGCATAAAATCAAAAGTAAACTATTTGTTATTTTTATTTTTTCATTTGATTTTGTATTTACTTTCATAAAATTTTATGTTAAAATGTTAAAAGGAATGTTTCAAAACTTCTAAAAATTAATTTTTAAAAGTTTTTAAAGGTTTTCCAAATTGGATGTTCAAAAATTCATTTTCAAAAAGTTTTAAAGTCTTTCGATCGTCCATTTCGAAAACTTTTAAGAATTTATGAAATTTTATTTTTGGAAGTTTTGAATTGCACCTTTAACATTAACACGAAACAAAATCAAATGAATTGGCTTGTAACAATAAAAGTCACCTACAATGAATGTTCTTGGGACTAACAAAAGTCACATACAATGAACAGTACTTTGTTGGTCCTAAAAACTATTCATTATAGGTGACTCATCCTTAATCCAGCCTGTAGCAGTTGAAAAAACCCAACCAGATGTCGACTGCACTGGTTTTTCCTGAGCAGCTTTTTTATCCCAACCCTAAACAAAACAAGTCAAGAAAAGTCAGTGCAATCGACATCTGTTTAATAACGAAAGCTGATGCAAGTATTAGAAGCAGTGCTAAACCAGTAATGGGAGCTGTGGCAGAGCACGGAACCAAGACACTAAAGAGGAAACAAACGGAATTGCAAGCTGAGCATGAACTGGGAAAATAAGTCGATAAATCAAGAATTGATCATGAGTAAACAAATAAGGCGATAAATTTGAAGCTACATTGGAGCCAGTAGCTGACAGGGAAGCTGGCTGTAAAGATGCAAATGAGAATGGGGTGCAACGGTTGAAGTTGGCTTGGAAGTTAATTATTAAGCCATTTGTGTCTATGTTGTGCTATCAAGTATTCTGTTATAACAGCCATTAATATATTTTGTCAGCATTTTACAATTTTGTTTTTACTCAATTAAAGCAAATGATGCGATATATATAGGAAATACTATGTAAGAGTCATCATTATGAATGAAATATAGACTTTTTCTCTCTTCTACTCCTCTCTCTTCCTTTTCTTAATTTTATTTTCTTTCCTGGTCTTCCTTCATTCTTCTTAAATCACAGCTAATTTGTGATAGAAAATCACTATCAATAATGGTAAAATGTTATACAAAAAAGACATGCTTAAGGACTACCTAACCATTTTCATTTTACACAAGCCCAAATGGACTAATAGAGAGTATTTTCATAAGTTCCCAAGAAAAATTGCTGCTAGGAGTTGAATAAAGAACTGCTCTACTTCCAGAAATCAATTTTCAATAAATAATTTGCTTTTTCTAAGATTAATTTCTAAAATTTACTGAGCCATTCCAGATATGTATGTCTAGCAACATTTACATTTTTTTGAAAACTCATTTGCGGTAAAACCTATTGGAAGAAGAAAGTTAGGGATGTGAAAGACAAAAAGATAATTGACTAATGAGTATTTAAGTAATTTCATTAAAAGTTAAATTTATAATAAAATTTTGGGGGTGTATTGAGTAGTTTTTGAGGTGTAAATAGTACCCCTCACAAAAAATGGAATGTATTTAGAAGCTCTAAAATTATTATAATGTTCATCTTATCAAAATTACAAAAATATCCCTCTTATTATAAATGGTTAAAATTACTATAATTCTTATCTTACCGTAATTAAAGAAATGCCTTATGATTGCTTCATAAGATGGCATGTTATAAAATTGTTATAATGCACTTATTAAATTACATATTAAATTTTAACATAATATAAAATTAATCACATATTAAATTACTAAAGTACCTTTGTCATTGTTTTATGAAAGTTTAACATGTAACATTTTATGAAAATTACTATAATATTTCTATTAAATTACATATTAAATTAATTACATAAAATGTAACTACATGTTAAATTACTATAATAAAATAAAAATTAAAAAATATATATAATACGATAATTTTAAAAGTAAAAGACACAACAAAAACATTAAATGATTTTTTATTGTTTTAAATATTCTTACAAAAAAATTATAACTTACAACAAATTAAAAGTCATGCATTTAATCAAATGATTAATAAAAATACAATGCTCAAAATATAATATAAAAATTTAACAAAAAACTATAATCTCAATATATGAAATATTATATATATATTAATTTAATATATTTTATAATATTTTTATTTATTTTATTATTTATTATTTTTATATTAAAATAATGATAAATATGTTTAAAATAATAATTATTATAAATAATAATAATAATAATAGTAATAATAATCACAATGAATTATATTATACTGCTAACTTGTATAACTTTAGGCTTTAGGTTCCTATAAAACAAAAAAGTATAAAAAAAGAAAAAAGAACCATCAAGAAATGTTCCTAAATAATAAAAGGGATCATCCCTCCATCATTCATCTAACTTATAACAAATCTCGATTAAATGCGTATTTGTGTGCATTTTCTTTCCTACTAGTTGATTCTATGACAAAATATTAGCAATAATTACAAACCCCTGCCACTTTTCCACGGCTAGACATAATAAACACATGAAACTATAATAATAATAATAATAATAATAATAATAATAATAATGCTGTTACTACAATACAATCACTGAGGATGTCCAACGCAATAATACTCTGACAAATAATATTCAAGACAGTATACTCACACGTCAAAACATACAGAAATGGGCCAAAACGGATGCATTTCATATTCTATACTGTACAAACTGTAATGGGAAAATTTTACTTCTAAACCAATACAAATCAAAGAATTCTGACACAAAGTCATGAACTTGAAACACCAAGGTAAGCAACCAAACAAAATCTCAAAATTAATAAGAAAAACGCTAGTGAAATGCCCCAAATTAAAAGAATGAAATGAATACGAAAACAAAAACAAAAATGCAAAAAAATTTTCATGATACACATGTTACAAGCAGAGGAGATAACGTCATCCCCAGATGGATTGCCTTCATCAGCGCCACAAACTGGAATAGACTCTTTTCAGAGAACCACTTCAGTTTCCACATCTGAGACCCAGCTAACTTCTTTTCCTTCTTACTTGTCACAACCCCCTTTAGCATTTTGTTTGAGGAGCAGGCCTTTGATGCAGTATGGTTCGCAAGAGCTAATGTCACACAATGACTTCCCTTTTCCTCGATAACCTAAAATCAGAAGTCAGATCGGCATTTAATCTTTTCCAGACACTGATAGTAAGCAAATAAAAAAAAAATCAAAATGCAAATTGTGCATATCAAAGGCAGATATAATCCACTTTCTATATAGATTGAAATTAAAAGCCCTAGGGAAAAAAAAAAACAAAAACATAAAAAGAAATTATGCTGAATATCTTGAATGGGCATGAAGAATCCCTCTAAAAGCAAAGGTGACAGCCATGGTATAAAAACTAGAAAGAGATCTCTTCTGCCAAATAACTCTGCCCTGATTCATCTGGGAAACCAATTCATGTCTGTTCACAAACACAAGGTCCTCAGCATGGTCCCTTACCTAATTCATGTCTAATTTCTAGTCCTAGTATGGAAGGAAAGTGTACATTATTAGATCATAATAATCGACTTCAGTAAAATTAACATATGCAGACATTGCATATGATGTTTAGAAAAAAAAATTCTGTTTTGAGGAGTTATTTTCTTTTTAGTGTAGTACCAATCTCTTTAGACATAACTCTCTGCGCATACCTGATGTTAGATTTGCTAACTCTTAGGAATCTTTATTATGAAGCTATCTTTTAAGATAATTTTTGCCAGAGCATTTGATAACATCCAATACTAAAGAAGCAAGAAACAAGATGCCAATTTACGTAAAAGGCCAAGAAAAGCATGAGATTTGCCTTGTTATGAGCCAAGTAGAGGGGCCATAATAAGACTTAACATGAAAGCAAAGATAACACAAGCTACAACACCTGCCTGATGCAGCATAAGAGAAATTTTTGGGTTGCTAATCAAACGCATAAACTCTAGTGTCAGCTCAACCAACTTTGAGAAGAAAGCATCGGAAAAAGGACATGAAAAAAAGGAAGGTGCCAATAAAAGCAAGGTTACAATTATCATTCTTTTTCCAAAACGGCAAAAATAAAGGTATTAACAAATAATGAATAGTTTCAGTTTATTTCACTTTTTTACACCAAAATGGAAAATAGCCAACTGTCCAATTTAGCTATCAGTAAGGGTTCAAAGCGCAATTAGTGCAAACAATAAGAGAGGAAAGGGGCATAATCAAGCTTAATGCCAAATCTGTTCCTATAGTACACCAACACAGCAACTAGGTTCAACAATAAACTCCCAAATGAGGCAGAACCATGCTAAAGGCAGAATACTGCAGAACAAAAACACAAGTACTTTTAAAACCTCCTACAAGAGCTTCTATTAAATATATTTCCACGCTCCATGCAAATAAATTGCCTCAAACCTTAACTTCTATGAGTTATTATATAATAGCTCCTGAACTTACAACTTCCACAGAGTTGAAGATGCACAACTGTAAGGAACAACCACAATTTTATCTGTTCACTGATTGCTATGATAACTTACAAGTGGTCAGGTTAACCGATGTACTTTTTTCTATTTGGAGGTCCCTTTAACCATGAGGAACAGCCCTCACAATTTACAAGGTAGGTGATGCGACGCAAAAATATGCTTACTGAAGGATTAAACTATTCAGATATCTGTTTAATTAATTTTATATATTTTATCGATTCAATGCAATTTTAGCATTTAGGGAATGATTGCAACATTTTTAGGTTAAATTAGCACTTGGCAATATTTCATTAGTCTTTAGAAGAAACCTATAAATTGATATTTTCAGTTTTTGGTAGCTTTTGATCATGGATTTTCAAAATTTTGAGATTTCCATTGAGTACAGAGATTTCATCGTAAGTTTCTATCTCTTTACACAATTTACTCAATTTCTATTTAAGTTTCTTGCACTCCAATTTTCCCTCTATTTCTGTCTGATCCCTTTTTCTTCTCCTTTCCCCTCCCCAACCTGCATAAGGAGGGAACAAGGAAGAAGAAAGTAGAGAAAAGATTGAAATTAGCAGAAGAAGGGAAGAATTAAAAGAAACTTAAGGAGCACTAGACTAAAGTGCAGAAGGAAAGGCAAGCAAGAGGGAAAAATCTCAATAATCCCTACCAGAAAGAGAAAATGACATAGGTTCTATAAAACCATAAAATAAGGATGAAATATAACCCTAAATGGTGTAATAACTCTCTAAATGCTAAAAATTACAAATTCCCCCCTAAAAATATATGATGTGTTCCCCACTCATTCTCCCTAATTGATGCATACAAAGGAGGGGACGGTGAGACAAAGAAAGAATGGAGATAAAATCAGGCAAAAGGGCAGAAACACCCTTGAAATATATATAAAGTAATTTCTAGATACTTTAATTTCAATAAAAATGATCTTATCCCACATCAATCTTCCTAATTGATGCAAACCAAGGGCGGTGAAGGACAGACAGAGAGATGGAGAAAAAATTAGACAAAAAGAAAAGAAAAAGACAAACTTAGAGGAAAATAGAAGAAACAAGGAGAGGAACCAAAAAACCCCAAGGGGAAAAGGGAAAAATTTCATTACTCAATTCTCAATATTCAGTTCATAGAATCCCAATAACCTCATCGCTCCTAGAAATTGAAATAATATAGGCACATAGGCTGCTAACTATACCCTAACATAAACATAAAATACTAAGTCTATTGAATGCCCAAAAATATTCCTTAAATACTAAAAATTAAAACCGGATTAAAAAAACTATACAAAATTAATAAAAACAAATCTCTATATAATTTAGTCCTTCAATAAGCATGACCATATCCCGCATCATCTAAATTCTTATGCCTCTTTCTTATAATAAAGTTCTTGATCCCATGAATCTAGAAAACAAAAAAACAAATAAATTAATTAATTAATTAAATAAAATAAAAAGCAAAGAACCTATCTTTAAAACTATAATAGCAAAAAAAAAAAAAAGATCTGAAGATATTGCATATAAACCTATGAATAAGAATTATAAATGGCTTAACATGGTAAACAATAAGGACCTCTTCATGAACATCTAATATGAGCAAACATTATTCTGATGAGAATCTAACAAGTATAAACTGAGATATATGATCATCTCCTGCAATAATGACTACTACAGCAACAAATGATTCTATTAGCAAAATAATATATTAGTTAAAGAATGCAAGATAAGAAAACTCAAATCATTACCATCTCAGATACATCTGTGATGTTGCAGCATGAATCGAGTGAGAAATATGGAGGGGAGCATGCATCATTTAGGAGAGAGTTGAACTGAATAATGTCTTCAACACACACAAGCACATGTCCTCCAATAAGAAACAGTGATCTTGAAAGCCATGATTCCTCTGTCCAGTTTTCACATAAAAGAAGGTTAAGCATAACCAAGTTCAAGGTCTATGCGTCTATGCTTCAGCATCCGCATGCAAGTGAGAGTGCAAGAAAGAAAGATGTGAATTGGTAAAAGTCAGGTGTTGTCATATTCCCAAAGTGAGAACATGAACTACTAAATATAATCATACAACAACCTTTCTCTTCTGAATGCATGCATACAGAAGAATAAAGGCATCAGCATCCACAACCATGATAGTACAAGCAAATTAATGATATTTGTGCAGACATAATCAAAACATATTCTAACATTGCAAACTAGCAACATACTTTCTCACTAATTGAAGGGATTTTACTTTTAGCCCTGAGAAAAGGTAAAGCATGACATGCCCTACAAACTAGTCAAGAATTCTGGACAAACAAACATGCAAACACATACTCTGGAACAAACAATATCATTGGCAAACACAACCTATCTTCGCACCCTTTTAAACATACCTACAAGCACACATGGCCAATAAATTGTACACTAAATGGAAGTTGCGTTATTACAGAAATCGACGACAATTGAATGACATGTTCCTCCTCTTGACATTTATTAACAAACACTAAGTCAATCTATCCATTCATCTACACTTTCAACTTAAGAGGTCCATTCTCAACATTATCTTAAAGAATATATAAAAATAATAACAAACATTTTGGCACGAGCCATACCTGGTTGACACATGACATGAAAGTGAAAGATTCAGATCCAACAGGGTGAATGACAAGATATATATTCCAAATTTATCAGGAATTGAAAGAACAAAATTTTCAAAGGCAATCGCATATCAAAACTGACTTTAAATTACGTTGCTACTTGTTTTTCTACCTTTCATAATTTTCATTAGTTACATTATTTCGCCTGAATCATATCCCACCGTCCCCATTCCATGCAAAATTATAGGAAATATGCTAGAGATGACAAGCATATTAAATACAATAAATCATAAACAAGCTGAAATTCAGTGAACAATACCTTTATTGCCACCTTCCTTAAAAAGTACCATGGAATGTTGGAACATGCTTAATTTTAAACCTCCGCATATTTGATTCTCAAATAACTCAGCCTGAACCTGCTCCAAACTGCCATTTAAATTTCCAAAACCTCAATCTATCATGAGAAAGAAAACAATGGCAGTTATTAAATTCAAAACTAATCATTATTATACTCCTCATCCCAATTGATGTATGATTGTTGATCTAGAGTGGTTTTAGAAGCAAGGTACATAACTTAACCACATTCACCAAGACATTGGGAGAAAAAAGAAATGAACAGAAAGAGATAAAGAAACCAAAACTAATTTGAAATTCATTTTACGATGTTCCAAAAAGGTATTTAGATTACATAAACGCATAGAGAGAAATACACATGATATGTTAAATGGTAGGTTTCATGGTTAAGTGAAAGAGTATTGAAATCACCTCCTTAAAGAGCATTTATCACTTGGTGCACATGAATCAGAAACTTTCACCGTGTGAAGTAATTGAGTTGATTTCTCGATGCTCCTTGTTATGAACAAGTATGATACATTCCCTTCCACGTACAATCTAACCAGCAATAGAAAATAGAGAGTTTCAGAGGAGTGATTAGTTTCTTAACTTCTATTGAAGTATCACAAATCACTAACCTCACAACCTGGAGACTTAGACCAACTAAAACCTCTCTTATATCTTCAACCCTATGGCAACCTAATAAATCCAAGATACTCTCTGCAAAGACATTAAAGTGCACACCATAATGATATTTGACAATCCGCACAAAAAATTTTGTCAAGTAATCAGCACTGGAAAGACAATCAACAAATGCATGCCTCATGCAAAAAACTACTTCATAATCCAACCTGATCCGTCACATGCAACACCAACAAGTAGCACATACAACTTTTGCTCACTGCTCAATACTAGAGCAACTTCTCTGCAGATGGAAAGAAAGCAAGAAAAGAAATTATTTAGAATGCCAAATCCTCAACTTACAAGAAAGACCATGTTAGTGCAGGGTTACGACAAATCATAACCAATAGAAAACGAAACATTCCAAGGACTTTCAGAAATGCCCAATGTCAACATTTATAATTTACTGCAAGCATTCAAGGACTGACGGGATACTACATCTAGCCTAAAACACATATTAGAAAACATGAAGATTTATACCAAAAGGAAAGTAAATTTTTCTTAAAGAAAAATAAATTCATCAAAACCCATCAACAAGGTAAAAGACATACAAAAAAAGAATTTAAGAAATGGTAAATGATTGATACAACTTCACATAAAAAATTTCCTGATTAAAATAATAACACTACTCTCTTGTGAATTGAAACTCATTATCAAAATAGTTTTATTCTATTACTGGTAATGGTATTTTGTATTCTCTAACAAGAGTCTGAAGAAGCCTCATCAAAACAAATTAAAACCTTTTCCTAAATTTTTTTGGAAATACCCACCTTTCTCTGCAATCAGACTGGTCAACTATACAACTGCAACGAATATATTGCCCACAAGTCTCATGAACTCTCAAATCTGCAACATTTTCATTGAAGTAGTCCTCAATAAAATCATTCTTCCCCTCAGATGAGCGTTTAGCGTCAGAATATCTCACAACATTATCAAGTCGAGGTGTTGAAATTGCATTTTTCATGTGATTTTTATCAAAATCTTTCTGATCACTCCCATTTAAAAGGCGCTTCCCTTTCATTTCCTTAATATCAGCCCCACTAGACTCCAGATTACCATTTGATTTTTGTGGCACCTGTTGACAGCTATTCTCTTCCAAAAATGAAATCACTCTTCTTTTTGTTTTCCTGCTACCTTTTCTTTCATCATACCAATCAGCCTCTTGGGTCACAAAAGAAGATATCTCTAGATCATGAGAACCCATATCTAAGTCACTGGACAATTGCAGGGTTTGGTTCGTATTTACAATTTTGGTGGTACTAAAGGTTTGTTCAGTGCATGAATCAATGAAGCAGATGCCGTTTTTGTTCCCATGGGAAATCTTATTTCCTTTTTCACAATAATTATCCTCAAAAAGATATGATGAAGAATGCCCTTCAACACTCCTATTGTGGTATTCCTGGACTGGTAGCCCAACTTCACAGTAATCATCTTCACTGCAGCTAGTATCGCTGTTAGATGATGCCACTGAATAGGACTCCGCAGATAACTGCAGAATTTCTTCCACCAAATTGTGGCGGCGATGCAAAAGGTCCTTCTGATAATGAGGCGGCGATCCAGGGTAAGCAGAGGAAGAATTAGACTCTGTTATATTATCAATTGTATTCAAATGTGATACACTGGCATTTCCAACCATCCTATTCCTTCCTTGGACGGTAAAAATATTGCGATGAGAACTCTCAGCTCGCATGGATCCGCTATTCTTCTCATCATAAAAGTAAGATTTCTGATACTCCTGTTTTAGATCCATTGTCCTCAAGCCTGGTAGAGGGAAACCACCAGTAATACCTAAGGAAAAAATATGATCAAAATATCTGTTGGCATGCACAACAGTAGACGTATCAGCAAAAGAATTGTCAGATTGTAAAACATTCAAGTTACTTTCATCTCTTGAAGCTTCAACAGAGTCTGAAACATATATTGAACTTTCACTAAGAAGCCTTTCGCTTTTCCCCATTTTTTTACAATTTTCTTTCCCAGGAAGTAACACAGTCACATTAAAATTTCCACCATCTGCAAAATTCTCAGAAGCATGATCCATCCATTCCTTGAACTCCCGCAACCATAGAATAGAGCGCTCTTTCTTCAGTTGTTCTACTCTGTTCATAAGATCAACTATTTCAGCTTCATCCTCAGATATGATACTCTCCTCTCTGCTTCGAATTTCATTATCACATGACACAGAATCTAGATCAGAACAAATGTAGGTGCCTTCTTGTTCACTCTCAATACAAGCAAGTCGAGATACTTTTATCTGCAAGATGTTAAAATGATAACCACCTATCAGCACTGATAAACACGGTAAAGTACATGCACAACCAAAATTCATCAAATGCATCCAAAAGACTAACCAGGGTGCCAAAACCATTTCACCAAAAGGAGAGAGGGAGGATGGATGACTGTAAAGTTAAAATAACATACAAATTCGAGAATTGGGAAAACTTTACGCACCCTCTTTTTGTTAATACCCCCCTCTCCTTCAGCATCATCTTTTGCGGGAGTATAGAACCCAAAGCTGGAAAATCGCTTCTGTCTGCTGGCAACAATAATCTTCCTCTTCCAATACTCTCTGGTACTGACTTCCTTGTCATCTAATTTCAACTAATCAGCCATTCAATCGAACATAAGGAGAACAGTATAATTAGCAGGATTACAAGATAAAAACTAAAATTATGAAATGTTTTAGCAAAGGAGCATGACTACAAAATTGAATTCAACAAAAAAAAAATGACATATGCAAACAGATAATAAGACATACATTTTCTGGATGACAGAAGTAGCTGAATACTTGTGCGCGATACCATCGGGCACAACATAGTGGATTCCCTTCAAGCCACAAGCTTTGTAGAGATGGGAGGCCCACAAGGAACTCCAACTCTGAAAAATTGGAAATAATATTGTAGGAAACATCAAGCCCTTCAAGTGACTTCAAATTCTCAATTCCACGCAATGTAGTTAGAGCATTGTTCCTCAAAACAAGTTTAACAACATGACAGGACACCTGCATCTTTCAACAACAATCATATATCAAAAATCAAATTCCTATATCAATACATTTCAGACATAGAGCGTGATACTAAAAATTATTCAAGAGAGTTGTTCACCAAAAAAAAATTCAAATAAATGTCTGATCAGTAAAGGTTTAAACAGAGATATTATGAAATTTCCATTAGACCTTAGCTACCTTAAAAGTCCGTTTTCTTTCATGCAGGGCTCATTCGTTTAATAAGTAAAATAGGTAAGAAAGAATAGTGTAAGGAAAGAACAAGGAGAGGCATAACCAAAGTACTCAAAGAGTACACAAGAAAACAAACAATGAACAAACATTTTAAAAAATCCAAAACAAAGTCAATAAGCTACAAGGACCAGATTAGAGTGTTTTCCTCTATTTAGAACCATGTAACTTGAGTCAGATCAGTAAGAGCAAGATCCCTCTTTATACTTTCCTCCCTCATCTTATTTTGTCTTTCTTCCTTCTAACATGGGCAACACATTCTAACAGAATCACTCTTAGGCCTTTGTCTCATATGTTCAAACCATCCTAGATGTGTCCATTATTTTATTCTCAATTGGTGCTACCCTCAGTCCTAACCTTTTCAAAAATGCATCTACTTCTAAACTATATTTTCTCATATACACACGTCCATCTCAATAGCCTCAATGCAGCAACCATCATTTTCCGAATAAACTGGAATTTAACCACTCAATGTTTAGGACCACACTGTTTGAATCCTATCAGTAGCATCTCCATAAATGCTTACCATCTTTGTTTATGATTAAGCCAAGATACTGAATCGATTTATATTACATAACAAGGCTCTGTTTGCTTGTTAGCATTGTAAGTAGTTACTTGCACGCTGCTATTGGTTATTGCCTTCCAAAGTGTTGAAATAAAATTAAAGCAAATGGGTAAAAAACAAAATCATAAAAATAAATTACTAAAATGTAATATAACATAAAAAGTATTCATTTTGTTATATACATATTTTTCACTTTTATTTTTAATTCTTAAGAAATATTTTTAGCTTTTGTATCCAAACTCGTTTTTATGGTTTTAAAAAGTAATATAACATAAAAAGTATTCATTTTGTTATATACATATTTTTCACTTTTATTTTTAATTCTTAAGAAATATTTTTAGCTTTTGTATCCAAACTTGTTTTTGTGGTTTCTTTTAAACCAAATCTGATGACTAAATAGTCTAAATGGGGTTAGAGCTGACAATGGATAGGGAAAAGAGAGATGTGGGAAGATGATGATAGTAGTTAATGGCCTTAGAGATAGCAAATCCTTATGGCATTGCTTGAAAGGTCAGAATTTCACTTGATTCTTTCCACTTCCTTGATGTGGTGTTGTGTGTGATTTCTTTCAATCTGGGCCTGCAGGAGATATCTTGCAGGGGAGACTTAGCAAAATTCTTACTTTGTTGGTTTTATCATGATTTTTTTTTTATTCGTCTTGGTTTTATTGTGGTTCATGGGAGTTCCTTGAGTTTTTGGATTTTTGGAGGTTTTCTCAGTTTTTTTTTTTTTTTTTTTTTTTGTTGTTAATGGTTGGACTATGTATTTTTGAGTGGTGCGATTTCAGTTGCTATCATTTCTTTTTTATATTGTATCCGCCAGGTGCTTTCTTAGTGCTCTTGTTTTTCTAACCTGTGGGTTGGAATTTTGCAACCTTTTGGTTGATATAACACACTATTTTGGCTGAACCAAAAAAAAAAAAAAACTAGTGACTAAATGCTACCTAAGAAAATTCCAAAAGGTAAGCATCTTTCAATCTATTTCCCTCCATCTTGGAAAAGTGAGCAGAAAGTTTTCAGCTTGTGAACAAATAATGTAAGATTGTAAGAATGTGAAAGGTAACCACCCATGCCATATGGAGTATCAATAAAAATAAGCTGCATAATAGCTGTAAATTGATACTTATATCAAAAGTAACATATTGACAAAGAAAGAGAGTATCAAATCTTTGCTAGTATTGAAACTTTCCTGAGTTTCAAGTACTTGCTTGCTAATATTGCAGCACTCAACATTTAAAATTCTTATTATACTAAATAACAAATGACCGCTTAAAAAAATTCATGCCTAGAGTTAAAAACTACTAAAAAACTCAGCTAAACCAGTAAGAAACAGATGGTTTATTAGCATTGAACTCTAACATCGGTTCAAACAAAAAGCTTCATGTTTTTTGGTTAAAAGGTCAAAATGGAAAAGCTGTTGCTGTGAGGAGATGCTTAGGAGAGGCCAATGCGGAGTTTATGAGAAGCTACAAGAAAGCCAACAAGTGAGCAGTAGATGAGGAGAACAAAACAATTCAAGGGTAGCGACTGGACTGGAATTTGGAGATTTCAAACGTTTTGTTTAAAAATTGAAGAAGATAATAAGGTCACAATAGTCATTTCAAACTAAAACAAAAATTAAACATTTCCTACTCCCTCTTTTCCCCTGATTCAGAGTATTGTAAAAAGGGGCATTTGAAGGAAAACAACATGGTACTCAGGATCCTTCCCTATCATTTATTTTAATTGAAATGGTAGCCAAACAATGGAAGGGTTTCCTACTTTGCCACCTTTGCTATCCTTTCCCCCCTCTCCTCAATCTAAACAGTGTTAAAGTAGAGCTCATTACTTCCCCCATTGAGTTTCTTAATGAGTCAAGCCTAACAAACTTCTGTCATCCATAGATCCACAAACTTTAAAAAACTGTTTTAAGCAAAACAACAACTACTACAATGAAACTCTGACAAAATGCATGTCGAAATACAGGCAATTGCGCAATTACAAACAAAACAAAAAGCGTGACATTAACAAAAATAATCTGCAGAAAACAAGCTAGAGACAATTAAAAATACAATAACCAATATATGCCGCCGTTTAATAATTTTTGAGTATCAAGTCAAAACCAAAAATCAACGATTTAATGAGTAATAATCCCGGTTATTCCTACCTCACTAAATGATGAGACGGATCGCAGTTGATTGAATCCAAGATCCAAGTGCTTCAACTTGGCACATTTCCGAAGATTATCCACCTTTGCAAACTTGTTTCGACTTAAATCAAGGGTTTCAACAGAAGGAAGAAGTTGCAAAGACTCATCCATTAGTAACATGCGATTGCAAGCACACGAAACAAAGGACAACCGGTTCCACTGTGGAGAGCCCTTTATCTCAGCAATTCTACTGGCAAACACATGTCGTAAAGCATCCTACATAATTTGAAAAGGCAAACATAATCTAAATCATTCTGAAGCTTCCATCACTAATTCACCAGTTGTTAATCAAATATAAATTGAGGAAAAGAATTTGTTTAAAGAGCCCATCCGTAATAGCACCAAATTGTCCTATGCAGGAAGAAATGAGGGAATAAAATATTATAATTTATAACAACAAAACCTTAACGAGTGCCGTTAATTCTTCATTTTGTTTGAAAATAAATGCAAAACACTCAATGAAACTCACTGCTGAATTATGGCAAATAATCTTCTCCAAAGTATGCCTCAATTCAAGCAATCCCTTGGCTGCTGAAGTCGACAAATTGCACCCTCTGAGTTCCAGAACCTTCAGTCTTCCAAATGGCAGCAATGAGAGCGGCGTGGGGTCACGCGCAGGCGGTGGCAAGGCAGATACCACCTTAAGAGTCGTTAGCAGCCGTAGTATCCGGCGAAGCTGTTCGAGCGCACGGTGGTCCCCAAGGTCCGAGACGTAGGCACGTAGATAGTCAACTGGAGCTCCCGCTAGAAGTCTCTCGAGCTCCTGCAACGCCTCGAGCCGCGACTGAACGTAGTGGAGGCCCGCCGGGTTGAGCTTCAGAACCTTTGTCCCTTCGATCAAAGGCCCCGCTTGCTCGTCAACGAATTTGACCAGCTTCTCAAGGTAGCGATCCCCTGTGACGATCGCCATTGGCACCAGAATTAGGGTTTTAGAAACAGAAGAAAATCAACCAGCGGCTCATATCAAAGCTCATAAATAAACACATATTCAAGTCCCAGTGTCAAAATATATATATCAAGAAATCAGAATTCTAAAAGGGTCTTTAGATGGGAGAAGGTTAAAAAAAAAAATCCTAGGAAAAGAGAATGGAAAGAAAGTCGAAGGAAATTGATTTGAAGATTGCAAGAGAAGTTTTAAAAGGAAGAAATCGGAGGAAAAGGGAATAGGAGGATTTGTATTATAGGAGAGAGAAAGGAGGTTTAGGGGGCGATTGGGGCCATGGGATGGGCGAGCAAAATGAAAATGATGGTTTCTGTTTTTGTTTTTGGTCTGTTTGGAGTGATGATGTGGGAGTCATTAATTGGATCCAATGATTGGCGCTTGTATGGTGAAATTTGTGTTTATTGGTTTCCGGAGAAATTAGAAAGGAGAATTATGATTTATCATCACAAACACACCTGGCGCACATGCACCCAACGTTGGGATCCGGAATTCCGTTGTTTATCTTAGGTTTCTGCTTCCTCCACAATTCAGGTCTTGCAGTAGTCCGACCCAGATCGGAATAAACAGTTTGTCGGTTCTTGGTAATTGTAGAGATAGAGAGTCGCTGCTACTTTAGTGTTAGTTTTTTTTCAATTATGCTCCTAGGTTGTTGGCATTCTCGTGGAATTGTTGCGAATTTGATTTTTAATTTTCCTTCGCGAAGATTTTTCTCCATTATTTACTCTTGATTTTAATTTAATCAGGAACTAAATTTTTAAAATTTCAATGTAACTAATGTGGGTTGTATTATTCTTTCTCTTTTTGATATATTGTTTTTCTCAGTTAAATTTGTTATTCTATTTTTTTTAATGTTCTTAATTGTTTTGCTACTAATTAGGAGAAGTCGATAGTATAGAATTTGAAAAGAGAATTATGGAGATTTTATGAACTTGGGACACTAATGTAAATGTCTAGACTAAAATAGAGTAATATGTATATGCGTGAGATATGGATAATCATTTTTTTATATTCTTTCTTCTTCATCTTCCTGAGTGTTCACCCTACTTCTCTTCTTATTCTTTTCTTAACTTTATTTTTGTAATCACCTATCCTTGTAGATAATTAAATGTGTTTTTTATCCTTTCTGTATTTTTTTATAAATGGTATCAAAGCTATGTTTGATAAAAGGGCTATAAACAGTCATAATCATAATCAGAGGTTCTTACAATGTGATTTGTGACGAAGCATTGGTTCTTACTCTGACATGACCAAACAGGCTAGCCACCTGTGAGGTTGAGGGAATAGGAAAAACCCAACCTGGCTTCGGCCTAGTCAAAAGGCTCTATGTAAAACTAGCTCTGAGGGACCTTAACAGGCCACCCCGCTTTAAGGGACCAACTATAAATGAAATCAACTAAAGGAGATAACTGTATTTGTAGATCAAACTTATAATCATAGTTTATATATAGATCCTAAGTTTGAATCTAGTAATATATCTGTAAGTCATGCTATTAATAGTTTATTTGATCTTTCTTCTTTTTTTTTCATAAATTATTTGTAAAAATAGATATATTAGAAGATAAAATAGATCTTATTTCAAAAAAAAGTGGACCAAAGACAGATTAAACTTGAACCATCTTCAAACTTTGGACCTATTTTTTATAGAAATATTATAATGACTAATGATAAACCCTCATATTCCTCCGCAAAAAGACAAGCAAAAACTCTTGGACTTTGAATCTTATAAATATTTAATTGAAAATTTTAAAATAAAAATGGATAAAACTGAAGGTTCGAAACAACGGATTGAGTATTTGAAAATTATAGAAAACCTTTATGAAGAACATAAAAGAATTTTTCAAAAATATAATTATCATTATATGCTTAACTACGACATAACCAGTGTTAGTAGTGAAGACGAACAAGAATTTATTGAAGATAATTTTTAATTCTTGCTACTAATCCAGTAGTTAAGAATAAAGCAGATTCCTTAGATGAAATCACATCTGAAGAAACTTATAGTTTTGAAGATCAACCAGATTCAGAATCTCAAAATCCTCAACCTTATATAGAGGATAGAGGAAAAAAAAATTTTCAGAAGTATTTAATCCAGATACTGATGATTTACTTTGATTTTCAGATTACTTGAATTTTTTTAAAATTTTAGAATAGAAAAAACCTCACCTAAAAAAGGATGATATTAAGCAAACATCAGAAACTGGCCAAACAAATCAGATAAAAGCATAGGTTCTTGTAATTGATTCGTTAAACAAACAAATAGTTGCTCAAGGTGGAACTTATTTAGATTTATCTCATATTCCTCTCAAAGACTATGGAAAAGTCATAGATGATTGGGCGCAATCAATGTTTATTGTAGTAACAGCCTATAAAGATTCTTAAAATAAAGAATGATTTCTTAATTATTTTTATGGCACCGGCAAGGAGATGTTCTACAATTCCTTAAAAAATGGAAAAATACTTCTCAAGGTGAAACCCAAAAGTCTGCTCTTCTAGCTACAGGTAATATTCCTCAACTTTTAAAAGATTTAACACAAATCTTAAAAAATGAGTTTTGTGGGAGTACAGGAACTTTGGATCTTAATTAAGAAGCTCAATATTTTTTATCTAAATTAAAATTATGTGATATTAGAAATTTAGATGATTTTTGTAAAAGATATATTTTAGAATATCAAAAATTGGATGAAGAACATTCAAAATTTTGCTTAAATCAATTTTTTCTCAAACTTTTCTCACCATGGGATGAACTTTGTTCTCAAAACTATAACACTTATTTAGAATTAAAACTTAAAACATCTAATGCTGCAAATCCCAGCATAAAATTATATGATATTTTAGGTTGCCGTATTAAATATGTATAAAGTCAGATTACAGAATATTGCCTCAAGCAGAAGGCTGACAAACAGGTAAAATCTAAGCTTAGTTATAAGCAGTGTACTAAGATTTTAGAAAATGATTTAGAATTTGGTTGCAATAAACAACCAAAAAGACATTATCGTTTTAAAAAGAAAAAATATTTTTGGACAAAATAGAAACCAGAAAAATTTGATAAATCTAGAAAGCCTAAAAAAGGCAAATTTGTTGTCAAAAAGAAGAAAAAATCTTTTAAACAAACTTGTAAATGTTTTTATCTGTGATCAAGAAAGTCATTTTGCAAATAACTGCCCTAACAAAGGGAAAAGTGTTAGAAAAATAATAAAAAAGCTTGAAGAAAATACTCTTTAAATTTTATTTGCAAAAGACTTATCAGATGAAGAAATATTTTATGAAGTTTTTTCTGAAACTAATGACGAATCATCTGATAGTGATTCTGACTATATTTTTTATGATAAATACAGAATCTAATCAAGATACTGTATCTGAAACCTCAACAGCTACCAATTCGAGAACTGATGATGGTTTAGTTAAACTCAAGAATGTAATGTGAAAACTCATTATATTCTTGATGACAAAATTAAAGAATTACAACTTGTCAAAAAAGATGAGACTTACAAGACAAATTATTTCAAAATATTTCAACCATGGTATAAACGCCATATTGAAAAAGGAAGTGGTGATATGGTAGCAAATGATTCTAAACAAGGATTAATTGAAATACCTTTGCTTACTAAACAGAAAATAAACCATTTTCTGTAAAAATATCCAAAGGTAAAATATATACATATAGCATTTATTATGATTACTATTAGACCTTTATTTTTAGCTACAAAAGATATTCCAATTATTGATGTATTATTAGATAATAGTTTTGAAAACCCAGTAAATGCTATAATTGGAGAAATTCAATCCAATGTAGCTGCTGAAGTAGTTTTATTTAAAGTAAAACCAAATTATTTTATTTCTATTTTTGATGAACATATTGAAAAATTTTATGTCTTCGTATCAAAATAACCAATTCTAATATTGAAGAAAAATCGCATGATCTTTCAATCAATTGGTCTGCTATTTATGAATTTATAAATACCACTACTACATTTATCAAACAGATAGATCCTCGTATTATTGAAATATTTGAACCAAACTATTTTCATTCAAAAATTAAACCAAAATTTTTAAATCTAGAAGACTTATTTATCTCAATAGGATGGTGTCTAGAAGATATTTCAGAAAATACTTCTAAAAAATAAAAGGTAAATAGTTTAGAATTTTTCTCTTCAAGAGAAAACCTTTATTTTAGAAATCCAAATGCATTAAACAATTTTAATCCGAACCTGGTTTTACCTCTTTCAAATGCTCTTGAAAAATAAGAAGATGATATTAAGAGTATAACTAGTAATCAATTTTTTTATACTCCTTATAGAAATTCTTTTGCAGGATTTCAACGTACAAACGGTATAGGTAATTCACAAATTCCTATTTTTGTAGGTGGTAATCAATCACAACAAACTTATTTTCATTCAGTAAATTCTATTTTAAACTCTACAACTTCTTCTTCTAGAAAACCTCTAGAAGAAATAAAAATGTTACATTTTAAACTTTTTTCTCTTGAAATTATTCATTTTTCTAATAAATCAAAAAATAGAATTTATACTTTTATTCAAGGAGAATTTCATTTTCAAAACTATAAAACATATAGTCTACATATTTTACTCGATATTGGAGCAACAATCTCTAGTTGTCACAGTAACGCTTTGCCTTTAAGTAAATAGCAACCAATGAAGCACCCCATTATTATTGTAGGTATTGATGGTAAGGAAACTATAGTAGGATATAAAGCTAAAAATATTCCTATTTATTTTAATAATGTTAAATTTGTTATTCCAAAAGTACTTTGTTTTCCTAATATGCATGGTGATATTTTATTAGGTAATAATTTTTTGCATACTTATTTACCTTTTTCTATTTCTTCTAATTATGTTACATTAACAATTAATAATTAATCAATTGAAATTCCTCTTTTGCAGGAGCATGATTATATTTGTGATAAGAACTTTCAACCAAAAAATTTAAAAACAAGTATTATTAAATCTATTAATGAAAAACATTGGCTATATAAAATTTTGCAAGAAAACTTCAGTGAACAACCATTGAAGCTTTGGCAAAGAAGCCCAAGATATTGCGAATTAACTCTCATTGATCCAACAAAGATAATCAGAATTAAGCCCATGATCTATACCAAACAAGATATAAATGAATTTGAAGTTCAAATTACAGAGCTATTGGACAAAGGTTTGATAGAACTAACTACAAGCCCTCATTCAAGCCCTGTCTTTATGGTAAGAAACCATTTTGAAATAAAGCGTGGTAAGCCTTATATGGTAATTAACTATAAGAGACTTAATCAAAATCTTGTTTTTTATGGTTATTTTATCCTAAGAAAAGATGTTTTATTAAATTTAGCCAAAATGCTAAATATTTTTCTAAATTTGATTATAAATCTGGATTTTGGTAAATCATGCTTAAAGAAAAATCCAAATAGTTAACAGTTTTTAATGCACCAATAGGACATT